TTATTGACTGCAAATGGGTGTTTCGATTGAAATACTTACCAGACAGAAGCATCGATAAATACAAAGCGCGCCTAGTCGCCAAGGGATTCACGCAGCAGCCCGGTATTGACTACTTCAAGACTTTCAGTCCTGTTATCAAGTCAACCACCATTCGTACCATCCTCGATGTCGCCGTCAGTCGTGATTGGTGCCTCCGTCAAATCGACATCAATAACGCCTTCCTACAAGGCGATCTCGAAGAAGAAGTCTATATGAGATAACCTCCAGGTTTTGTGGATCCCGATCGACCTACACATGTTTGCCGCCTCAAGAAAGCCATTTATGGTCTCAAGCAGGCTCCAATGGCGTGGTATCTGCAATTCAAACACTATCTGATCTCTGTGGCTTTTAAAAACTCAGTCTCTGACACGATGCTTTTTGTTCTTCATCACAGTGACATTCTTCTCTATCTCCTGGTCTATGTCGATGATATTATTGTTACAGGAACCAACACAGCTGCTGTTGAATTAATTTTGGGAAATCTTGCTGCAAAATTCTCGCTAAAGGAGTTGGGAGAATTGTCATATTTTCTGGGTATTAAATTTATCTGCTCGCCACAAGGATTACATCTCAATCAACGCAAATATACTCAAGACCTTCTTTTGAGGATGAAGATGCAAGACACTCGCCCGTTAGTACACCGATGGCTACAAATACAAAGCTGGTTCTATCTGGCGAAAAACACTCTGATCCCAAAGAGTACATTCTCACAGTTTATGCACATTCCCACAACTGAACACTGGCAAGCTGCAAAAAGAGTGCTTCGCTATGTCGCTGGTACATCTACTTATGGCATTCAGTTTCACAAATCCAATCCTCTAAAACTTCACGCATATTGTGATGCGGACTGGGCGGGTGATGCCAATGATCTCATCTCTACAAATGGCTACATAGTTTACCTGGGAAATCAGGCCATCTCGTGGTCTTCCAAGAAACAGAAAAGTGTGGCCAGATCTTCAACTGAAGCTGAGTACCGTTCTGTCGCAAACACTGCTGCTGAACTGATCTGGGTATGTTCTTTACTCTCTGAACTTCATATCTCACAAGAACATCCCCCTGTTATCTATTGCGACAATATCGGAGCCACTTACCTATGCGCAAAGCTGGTGTTTCATTCGAGAATGAAACATGTCGCTCTAGACTACCACTTCATCCGAGAGCTAGTGCAGAATGGCAATCTTCGTGTTGCTTATGTCTCAACACATGATCAACTCGCTGATGGATTAACAAAGCCATTAAGTCAAGCTCGCTTCACACTACTTCGGAACAAGATTGGAGTCTCCAAGGGTTCTCCATCTTGAAGGAGGCTATTAGGAATATACATACATGTCAAGGACGATTTGATTACCACAAATCTTTATTCTCATTTACTGTAATATATCCTCTTCCCATTCTTATACATTCAGTACCTGTATAAATTGTACCAATACTCAATGTAATGAAATCATTCAGCTTACAAAGTTTACATGGTGGCTTTGAATCGTTTATATCCCATATAAATTTGTTGTAGGTTTATTGATTACTTTATTTCCTCTTGATATGACCAAATTTTGTTACAAATTTGGTGTTCACTTGTTAAAAGTTTAAGGTAATTTACTATGTACAAGCATAACATAATTTTTACAAACATATTGATAAGCCAACAATCAAACTGATTGGTCCTCTTTTATTTGCAAACACAACAAACAATCATATTATTAATTGGCAAGAAAGTTGAGCTGTGGTTAAGAGTTATAATGATTGATTACCTTTTGCCCCTCATGTGAATTTACTTTAATTACCCTTAATGAAATCTATTGATTATTTATTTATCTATATTCTTGATAAAAAACATAATTATTTTTTTAGACTAATTTAATCTAATCTTATTAATAAATATTAGATTGTGTTATTATTTTCGGCTAAATTTAATTTTTTAAAAATTCATAAGAATCCTAATCTCTTTAAATTGTGAGGTTAAATCTGATTTTGAAGGGATTAAATCTCTTCTAAAAGAAAAAAATTGTGAGGTTAAATCTCTTTAATCATCATTTATTAGAAAACCCTAAATTTCTTTGGCCACAAGATTAGAACCATAATCTCCTATTCCTAGGGTTTCTTCAACCTCATATGTTCTTTCTAGAAACAATGGCTCTATGACGTTCAACATCTGTCTCTTCAAACGATGAAGCTAAAATAATAGTGACGTCTCGATCAAAATTGGAACCTTCTGATATGCAGAAGAGGGTGAGAGAATCAAAAGATTTTTGGCTTCATAATTTTCAAAGGATTGAGATGAGATAGTGATGTTAACTTTTGTTTGTAGAGGATTAGTGAGATACATATAGAGATTTCGTTGCGATATCCAAGTGAGATACAATTTTCATATGATATTGATTCATATTACTACTGGTTTAAAGGATGGAAGTGTATCAATAGACAACTAACTAACACTGCGTTTAATGGTGATCTCTTAACTTGTTAAGATTGTTGTTCTACAAATATAAGTTTCTCTTCATCTTGAATTCCGGTATACATTTTCTTTGAACGTTTTTGCTCTGTTTTGATTTGGTCAAAGAGTCTTTGGGACTTTGTTATAATTCACAGAAATTCTTCTGTTTTTTTTTTCTTTTTTTTCCAGACATGATATGGATTATTTTGGGATTGGTTGAGTGAATAATATATTAGTTGGTGTAGAGTGTGTCGATTGAATATGCGAGATTTGAGAGTTCAACAAAATAATTCTTATGTTATCTATTCTTACATCTGAATTTTTTTTTCTTTTTTCTTACATCTGATTTCTTTTTCTTGAAATTTTGGTTCTTACTCAGTCATACAGCTCTGCTTTTGTCTTTCGATGTGGTTGAAATTTTAGCGCACTGTTTTTTTCTTTTTCTTTTTAGATAGCAGTTTAATCAATTGGATCGATGCTCCATGTCAGTTTTAAGCTGCACTGCATTTGACTTCACAACTAAAGGAATTCGATATATACGAAGTTTCTATATAGAGTTTTGCAAACATATTTCTCGCAATTGAAAATCAGCAACTGCAACGAGATCGAAGGCACCCCCTAGCGTCTGTATCGAGTCGTATGAGGTTTTGCATACCGGCGATCGTGAGCTACTTATTATTATTTCTGAGAACGATAATATCTACAAGGTTTCATGCACTCTAATGCTATGTAAGTATCTGATTGTGCTGTTTTTTTTTCAATTATACGATCTACATGTTATTCTACTGATGTTTTTTCCATGATCATAATGACTTCAAATTCACTATCTTGAAGATATTAAAGTTTGAGAGTTTATGTGATTTAGTCACGATTGTTGTTTGTCTTAATCATAAAAACTGAATGCACCTGGACTACTGTACAAGATCCTGCATATGAAAATTGATGGAATTTATTTGTAGATAGCAGGCCGAGACTCTGTCTATTGGCTCCCCTGAAGGATATATAGGTCACGTGGGTGAGAGAATATGTGATGCGAGGCTGAACCATCCCAATGGTTAAGGGGTTTGACAAAGGAAACATAGTGAATATGGAGTTTCTACGGCAGACACGGTGAATAATGCTATCCGAAAAATAAGTGAAATGGTGTAATAGCTTTGGTTTATCTTTGAGATTAGATCATAATTGGATTTATGGAGAAATTTGTGATCGATATAAAGAAAGAGAAGTGAGAGATTGAGAAAAATCTTGAAAATAAAGTAAGAGAACAAGAGAGAGAAGGAGAAGAATACGAAGAGCAGGGGTTGGCTTGAAGGTTACTGGTTTTTTATTGGTGATTAGAGACAAATTGGAAGAAGATTATTCAATATTGTCAAAGTCAAAAGTAACTTTTCAAAGCTTTTCAGAACTCTATAAATAATGTCTGAATTTTTTTAATCTCAAACTCCCATCTCATCTCCATCAAAATCATAATCACAATCGTAATCGGTCTTCGTTTCTTATGTTGCAAACTTTGATGTTTTCTGTTGGAATATTGATGATCTGATGCGCTTTGAATTCAGAATTTAATTATGAAGATGATTTAGAGCCTCATTTCATATGTTTTGTGATCGTTTATTTTGGTTTCAGGTAATAGAGAAGAGCCTAAATGCAATTAAGTTCAGTCTCTCAATGAGTCAATTATTTGTGGTAATAAAGGTTTACCTCACTTCAGCTGCATTTTTATCTTGACGTTGTTTGATTTCACAGTGGCAAGAGACTTTGAACAAGGAGAGCTAATCTCACGTCGTTGGTAAAAGAGTTATTCGTTTTTCTCCTAGAGCTAATTCACTATCTTGCGTTGAGGTGGAAACTTCGAGAGAATGGGGCATTCGCATGATAAGATCAAAGATTCACTCTGGACAAAAATTTTAGATGATCTGGACCTGGATACACGAGATAACCAGCCTCATATGAATCTGGCTAAAATGATGGTTAAAAGCTACAAGCTCTTTAAGCCAATAATTGAGATTTTAATCTTTATGCTAATACATTATCCTAGTAATTATTGTGTGTATCTTCTTATTCCTCTATAGTAGATTATTTCATATTTGTCTTCTGGTTTGTAAATTCTTTGTAAATCTTAAAGTGTTGAACAAGATTCGTTCTATATACCATAATTAATCTATTGGATTTTTGTTTTTGATTTGTCATTTGTTGTTATTGCTTTTGTCATTTTTTGAATTTACATTATATTGTAATTTAGTGTTTCATCAATTATTTGGCTTCATATTATTTTTAAATATTTAATTATAAAAATTTGGCTAATAAAAACATAAATAACAAATACAAAAAATTTGTAAATGTTATTTCTTCGCGTATGACGCGGGCGGTAACCTAGTTAGTTAAATAGCCACATTCAGTTTCGGATGAATCTGAATGTCATGAAACATCATACAAAATCACCTTATTAAACGTCTACACCCAACATTTAATCTTAGGGTTTTTATATATATTCCTCATGGTCAAATAATGGGGTTTTTATTTATTTTCACATACAATTCCTTGGAACCATAACTCCAGAGGCTCGTCCATGAGCGTTCGTGCAATGAGAATCTGATGGTCCTCTCATGTAAGTGAGATTAATGTTTTGTAACCTAATCCCTGTGCAATGATTGCTATCACTACAATCCAGTTTCATAGCTATTGGCGTTGTTGATGTTCCCTTTATGTTTGCAAAAGTCACTCCACTGATCTTCACACCAGAGTTCTATATGATCAAACAAGTTTCAGTTAGAAAGAATAAAAGACAATATACTATAATTTAGTTATATTCACCTGATTAGGGCAGCCTTTTCTACCCGGGCAATAGTTTTGATCGATGATCAATGGATTACCAACATTCCTCATTATCAGGCTTCGAAATTCCACATCCCTCACAAACCCTCCACTCGGCCTAGCCCAAGCCTTTATTCTGACTCCGTTTCGCGTTACATTATCCACACCTTCCTAGTTAGCGTGTTCCCCAAGACTCCCAATACTACATCAAATTAATTTGCAAGCGAAGCCCATGTTAATTAGTGCCTTAATTAATTAGTACTAGATCATCATATTAACTTAGTTTTGTTAAGTTTAATTACCTGATTCCATGTCCTGGTCCACAGACTACGCGTTCGATCCAAATGTTCGTAGATCCTTGATCAAGAGCACTGCAGTCATCACCGGTCTTAATGATTGGCCAACTAATGGTGACTCGAGAAGAAGACTGGACGACAATACCGTCAGTATTAGGGCTTTCACTTGAAGCCCTAATTCTTATGTTTTGAATCCCAACATTGGAAGAATGATGGACCGTGACGTGAATATTATGACTATTCAACGACGTTAGGCCGCTTAGTAGAACGTTATCGCACCAGCTAAAAGATATAGACTGCGAAAGAAAACCATTATCGAAAATTTGATTATATGTACCAAAATAGCTAAGCTAAAGAACAAATTGAAATCAGGTTTTGATACAAACGCACCTTGAGGACATTGGCCACCTTTCTTTTTACAAGACCAATAACCAGCTCCTCTAGCATCAATTGTTTTACCGTAAACCGAGATATGGTTTACCTTAGCGAATAGGATCCAATAGCTAGAATGACCAATAATCCAGTAATTAGTCGGAGCCATGATTGTTCCATCGATTTTGAAAGTTATAATGTTCTTGCAAGGACCCATGTAAACATAGAACAATGTGTTTGAATGGTTTTCTGTGTATTGCATTGATCAGCCAATGGCTCAATATATACAAGATACAATTGACGTAGCCTTCAAAGCTTACCTAATTGAAAAGGTCATATGCCTAAAGAGATATGTACATAATAGATATAAAGAATATACGATATGAGTTTGACATTATTGTAATATTCCCCCTCAAGTTGGAATGTGGAGGTTTGTAACACCAAACTTAGGCAATAATGCGTGAAACTGTGGTCGCCCAAGTGCCTTAGTGAGAATGTCGGCTACTTGATCCTTGGTATGAACGTGATGTGTGGAGATGATACCATCACGAACGGCATCACGAACCCATGACAATCCCGCTCAATACATTTAGTCCTCTCGTGAAAAACAGGATTAGCAGCAATGTGAATGGCGGCTTGACTATCGCAGTAGAACGGAACCGGCTTGGTGACAGCGATGCCGAGGTCTTGCATGAGTTGAATGAGCCACTTAGTTTCATGAGTTGCAGCTGCCACAGCTCTATACTCTACTTCAGCAGAAGAGTGAGACACCGTGTCTTGTTTCTTTGTTTTCCAAGAGATGGGAGAGCGACCAAGAAGAACAAGATACGAACTAAACGATCGACGAGTTAGAGGACATGACGCCCAATCAGAATCGCAGTAGACTGACAATTCAAGGGGATCATCTGAGCGCAAGAGAACACCTTGACCCGGAGAGCCCTTGATATAACGCACAACACGTAGAGCAGCCTTCCAATCACCTTCATGCGGCTCCTTCATAAACTGAGCCCCATACTTCCTCTTCACGATCCCCATGGAGAAAGGCATTGTGAATGTCCATTTGGTGGACTTCCCAGCCTTTCCTTGAGACAAGGCAAAGGAGACTGCGGACAGTGCTCATTTTGACTATCGGAGCGAAAGTTTCTTTGTAATCCTCCCCTTCAATCTGATTATTTCCCATTACGACTAAACGAGCTTTGTAACGCTCTATCGTCCCGTCAGCATTGTACTTAATCCTGTAAACAAAATTGCATCCAATTGAAACTTTCCCGGGTAGCAGTCATTCGATATCCCATGTGTGACTATCTTCAAGAGCAACCATTTCGTTGGTCATGGCATCACACCATACATCATATTTAATGGCCTCAGAATAACGCTTAGGTTCAACGGCTGTACTAACCGCTGCGAGAAATGCCTGATGCGAGGTGGAGAAAATTAGATTAGTCACATAATCATCAACGGGATATAGTGTCTTACCAGGATTTGGATGCGTTTCACAAGGCGATGAAGAAGACGATGAAGAGAGAGAATATGAAGTGTGAGCGACATAATCTTTAAACTTTGATGGAACTAGCTTTATGCACTGTCTCTTGCCTAGATCAGCATTCTGATTAACTTGTATTACTTGTGTAGGTATTCATTGAGGCATGGGTTGAGGCACCGGTGAAGGTGATGAATCAGACTCATGGGACGATTCTGATTTATTCACAGGTGATGGTGCAAATTCCTCATCTGAGAGCTCCAAAATCGTATCAGAGACAAGGTGAGGAACAGAGGACGGTGATGATGGTGTAGCTTCTATATCAGAGCTCCCCCTGTCGTTGGAGCTCGAGACTGGTTCAATGAGCCAGTCGTCATCATCAGCTACTTGGGGAAACGGTGAAGGAGAAGTCGCATGCTGAGAGACCGACGACATAGGGAATTCATCCTCATAAAACACAACGTCTCTGGAGATAACAAACTCATTCTTCTCTAGATCGTAAACTTTCCAGCCTTTTTGACCAGTAGGATATCCCATAAACATACAACGACGACACCGGGAACCAAACTTCTCCTTGCCTCTGGATTGAAGATGCGTGTAACACAGACTTCCAAACTCGCGGAGGTGACCGTATGAAGGTTTGTTGCCATAGAGAACTTCATACGGAGAGCGACTGTGAAGAAAATTGGTGGGAGTACGATTAATAAGATGAGATGCAGTCATGACAGCCTCGCCCCAGAACTTTGTTGGTAGACTCCCTTGAAATAGTAAAAGCGAGATATGTTTAGTATATGTCAATGTTTTCGTTCGACACGTCCGTTCTGTTGCGGAGTATACACGTAAGAGGTTTGGTGAAGAATGCTTTTCTCATGGAAGAAGGAAGCAAGGCACATAAACTCGCTGCCGTTGTCGTTTCGAACTGTTTTAACCACTTTACCAAATTGTTTCTCTGCCATGTCACAGAAGTTTTGTAGTACTGATCTGACTTCTGACTTTGCAAGAAGCAGGTATGTCCATACGGTTCTTGAGAAATCATCCACAATAGTTAAGAAATAAGCTGTTCCACATGAAGCTCTCATGCGATATGGACCCCAAACATTGTAGTGAATAAAAGAAAAACACTCATTTGATTTATTTGAACTATCATAAAATACTTGTCTAGCCTGCTTAGCCCGAAAACATGTGTCACAAAGACTGGGGGAAGCGACTTTATTGGAGGATGAAAACATAAGTAAAGTAGATAAAACAGAAAACGCCAAGCCTTTGGTGCCAACGTAACTGATCAGCCAAACCAACAACTTGACTAGCTACTCGATGAACCCTTGCAGCCATGACATCTTTAAAGTAGTAAACCCCATCTCTCTCTTCACCGGCTCAATTTTTTTGCTTGAGAAGCTTGGATACTGAAATCAAGAAGCAATTTAAATTTGGCACATATAGCAGGTTGGAGAGAGTGATACGGTCAGATAACGGGAAGAGACCCGTGTGAGTGGCGCATGTTTTATTTCCATCGGCAAAGCTAATGTGACATGGTGGAATACTTGATGTATTCTGTAGCAACGAGAGGTCTCCCGTCATGTGATGAGAGGCTCCTGTGTCTAGTATAAGATCAGCATGTATACTCTTACCTGTGAGTTTGTCGGAAGGTGCAGCAACTCATTGTGCAATCATCTGAGAAAGTGTCTTCCACTGCTCTTGAGTAAACTCGGGAAAGGACGATGAGTTGGAGGTAGTGGCGTGAGCATTGGTGACACGATCTCCTGAGTTTCGGTTTCCACCACGGCTTCGACCACCTCTGTTTCCGCCTCTGTTTCCTCTGTTTTGTGAGCATTCTTCAAACCAATCAGGGAACCCGACTAGCTGCCAACAGTTAGCTTTTTCGTGTCCACATTGAACGCCTCGATCACAGCCTCCGGAACACCAGCAGATTGTGAACGTGGTTGATCAAACGACGGATCCCTTTTAGCAACAAAACCGACTGCACTTTGCTGTGATTCCCTTTCAGCAGCTTTGTTAAGACGTTGTTCCTCACGAATCACCTTGGAGTAGATCTCACCGAGATCAATACTAGCGTCGGAGGAGATGATTGCTTGACACAGACCTCCAAAACGAGCTTCATCTAAGCCCATCACAAACTGATGCATCTTTTCTTCTTCACGCTCCTTTTCGATAATAGCAGCGGCAGTGCAGGTACAAGGAGGGAGAGGCCTGTACATGTCTAGTTCTTCCCACATCTTTGACAGACGTGCATAGTAGTCTATCACAGCTTCGCCATCTTGTCTACACGAAGCCAGCTGTTCTTTGAGATGATGCACCTGGACTTTGTTTCCCACCGAGAAATGCTTCCTAAGATTTTCCCACAACTTGTAGGAGTCTTGAATAAACGTGACTGTTGATCGGACTCGTGGTTCGATAGACGTGCGAAGCCTACCAACAATCATAGAGTTTACCAAAAGCCAAAGCTCAAGATTTGGGTCAGTAGGCAAGGGCTTCAGTCTGTATTGTGCCTTCGATAAAACCTAGCTTCCGTTTAGCACGGAGAGCGTTGGTCATCTCAGAGGCCCACTCGTTGTAATTTTCACCCGTCAACATCACCGCTGTAATCATTGCACCAGGATTATCGGAGGCATAGAGAGAGTATGGTGTTGTAACTTCCATACCCTTGTCTTCAGATCCTCCACCTTTGGACGTAGAGGAGATAACATGGTCACTCATACTTGCTAGATCTCACACAAAGATAGCAACGCACAAACTAAGAAGAATCGAACTTTGAAACCTTAGAGAACAAGACAGAAAGAAAACGATTTTAGGCCTCAGAATTTTAACGCTCTGCTACCATGTAAACCTAGGACAATGTGTTTGAATGGTTTTCTGTGTATTGCTTTGATCAGCCAATGGCTCAATATATACAAGATACAATTGACGTAGCCCTCAAGGCTTACCTAATTGAAAAGGAAATATGCCTAAAGAGATATGTACATAATAGATATAGAGAATATACGATATGAGTTTGACATTATCGTAATTACTCCAAAAGACTAGGGTTCTAACCACGTGTGTTCCACGGGGAATGTAGACCATTACTTAAGCTCTTGAGCCGCATGCTAATGACCAAGCCGTCAGAAATGGCTGAGTCGAGTCTGTTATATCCTTATCCCATCACCTCTTGGTCCGTATCTTTGTATGTTGAACGACAGCAATGCATTGGATGAGTTAATAATGAAGAAGACGCTGGAAAAAATATAATGGCAATATGAAAAGATATGTTTTTTTATGATTGTACTACTAGTGACTTAGAAGAAAAATTGATAAAGATTATATATTGAGGAAAATAATATATTTTATTAATCGTATATTTATGACTAATTTCATTATATGCGGTATATTAAATATATATGTCACTTGATTCTGTATTATTAAATTATTATAGTTGGCAACATATTGATTTTTGTTTCAAATTAATTTATAGTTGGGCAATCTAAGATATTATTTGCAAAGTGATTTTGAGGAATATAGCTCTCTTATTCAATCTCAGTAAACATTATATAAGTACCCTTAGCGAAGAAATTGTTAATCTATTCTAATATTTTCCAAGATTTTTAATATTATTTATTTATGGTTTTGTGTATATCTCGAATTTAATATTTGGATATCTCCAACTTTTTTAATTACTAAATAAGTTAGAAAATAATCAAAAAAGAATATTCTCTAACCGGTTTAACAAGTCTATGATTATCAAACTAAAAATATATAGTTACCATTATCCTATGCTGATCTTAATAAAATCTAGGTAGTTTCGTATAGTTTCTAAAATATTAATTAAGATTATTCTTTTTAAATCGGGCCGTGGCCCATAATGTGTGAGCGGTTATCATGTAACCCTAATCTCCTCTATATATATAGTTCAATATCCTATGATCTAAAACATTATCGATTTGTTTATTTCTTATTCATGTTTGTTAGATTTTATATTTTGGTGAAATTTTCATGCGCGTATCTAATAAATTTTTTATATGCATGCAGATGGTTGCTTTGTTGATCTTCTTGAATTACTGCCCTGCTTATACGGTATGCTCTCTACATATATCATATCTGATATAGATGTATTACGTTTTTTTTAGTTATTTGGATTTTCGTTAAACCCTTTTTTTTGACGGATAGGTTTTCGGTGCTGGCTGCGTTTCGATTACGTGAAGAATCATCGGGGTGTTGTTTTCTTCTTTATAGTTTTGCAGCTGATCATGTTTTTAATTTTATATGTGATTAATATTTTCTTATGTATATTTGATTAATATTTTCTTATGTAACATTTATTTGAAAGATTTATTCGTATATGTTTATCTAATGAATTCTTTATATGTATTATGTAGGCGGTATGTTTTATTTTTTATCATCTCGTATTGTTGATGATAAATAAATGGTATGTTCTCTGTTTATATTGAATATACATATGTATATTATGTTATTTATGTTCGTTTATTTTGTCTTTATATTAATGACTGGATATTCGTCTATATATGCCGGTTTTGGGTTTGTGGGGTATTATCAGAATGTTATTTTGTTTTCGTAATTTTTTAATGGATAGTATCATTTGATTTTGTATATGTTTCTTTAGTTTCTTCTCTTGTATATTCGGGTACTATGTGTTCGTTTTGATTTAATTGGTATACTATAGTTTTGGTTGATGAATTTAAATAAGATATTTTTTAGGTATTTTGTGATATTTATTTGAGTTTTTGTTTTGTTTCTGATGACTAGGGGTTGTTCACCTTTAGATGGGAATTTGGTGGTGTGGCGTGATCGCAATTTTGAATATATCGTCGATATATTCACATTCTACTTCAGAGGTTTGTGTTGTTGTGGTTTTTTTATTGGCTCAGTGTTTCGGAGTTTGTGTATAGTCTATTTTGTGATATTTGTATCCATTTAATAAAGTCAAACTGTATTTGATGTTTTTTTATATTTATATCTGACGATTTTTTTAATTGTAATGTATAGTGTGTGGTAGGGTTCTTGCAATGGTGTACTTGATGATTTGTTCGATGTTGAGTTTGGAGGCTAGAAGACGTATTGGGATCATCAACGATAGAAGATTTCGGATTCCTGTATGTATCTGCTTGGTCGTGTATGTTTTAAAGACAAGCACTTTCATTGATATTCAGTTGAGATTAGTGTCATTTTATTGTATTATGTTACCTATGGTTTGTATTTAGGCTATCTATGATTTGTAATAGTGATGTGTTCTCTTAATAAATTATTTTTTATTTTATTTGGTTGTTCAATGATATTCCGATTATATTTTCTTCTTCTGTTTTTTTTAATATGTTTAAAAATAGTAACTTAGCCTACTAATTGAAATTATGTTGGTGTTACTTCTCGCTTGGCTCAAAATCGACGATAAACTAATATATTTTTCTAACTCTTCGGTTTCCTAAGCATACTCCTTCGCCTCTAATATAAAACTTTTAAACAATAGCAAGAACTAAACTGGATAAATTATGGTCTTCATTACTGAAAATATAAAATTATTTCGAACATCAATCCAAAATTTAAGGTTGAATATATATATATATATATATTTTAAAAAACTCCTCTAATGAGAAATTGTAAAACATAATAGATATCTTAGTCAGAGTCTTCGTCGTTGCCATTCCTAAATGAACAAAAACAATATAAATAGTTGGCTTGGAGAATCGTGAATAAGAAGGTAAAACACAGTTTAAGCTTTATTCTACTTACAATGCACGCTTGAACCTTCTAGCCTCGGAAATGTCTGGATCATACAAAACCCTCGATACTTCTTCAGCATCCACCAGTTGAACATGTTCTGTATAAAAGGATCACATGTTAATCGCTAAATAAAATGGTACCGATTAAAAAAATAAATTAGGATCAAAGTTTAAATGTAAACATACTTGCAACCTTGACCACACGAAAATCACCGAGGACACAAACCATGTTATTCGAGTTGAAGTTCCACCATTTCTTAGTAATTTCAAGTGCAAGTTTCCCATGAGTTACAAAACTTAGATTTGTCCCTCTGTCATAAGTAAATGTAGATATTGACAAAGATAGAGCATTTTAGATGCTTCAGGATAAATACCGAAATAATATCATCAATATATATTCGTTTAACTTTAAATTAAACATACTGTGTGTTCTGAATAGCAAATGAGAGCTGGCATGTGTTGGCAGGACACATGGGGCCAAAGTCAGTATCTTTTACTTTGGCAATATTCGTAAGCATAGATATCCGACCTAAGACATCTGAAAATAAGGCAAACAAACTTAATCTGCTAACTCATCATTAATTATTGATATATCATGGTTTTAATGGTTTTTAACCATGATATAAGTCCTTTTTATTGAGTCTTTTTGGTTTTTTTAGAGTCCTAGTAGAGTCTTTGCAGGTTATAGCATGCCTGGAGCATAATTGGGGATATTGAAGCTTTTTGGAGCATTGCAAGTTGAAGCCACAAAGTGTCTAGCTCGGAGAAGAAAGTATGCGTTTTGGTGATGCTAGTCTCCACCCTTGGTGACGCTCTTCAACCATCAAGGAAGGAGCGTGGCCAGTTTTATTAAAAGTATGAAGACTATTTGCAGAATTGGCCCAGAAGTTCTTATATTTACAAGAAGGCCCCATATTGTGTTTAGCCTCTATTTATTAGGTTTTTCAGCCATTGTTAGTTTTTATCTTAGATTTTAGAATTCAGAGAGTTTGGGAGAGAGATTTATTCAGAGCTTTTTGGGGAGACAGATCCTGTACTCTTTTGAGAAGATTTCAAACCCCCTTATTCTTTTACTCTTTCTCTTAATGCAATTTTATTCAGTTATGTTTTGTGATTCCATAATCATGTCTGAGTAATCTACTAGTTAAGTTAGGGCTTTTTTAGAAGGTTGATGAAGAGTTTGTAGAATTGCTACCTGTTAGGAATATCTTTTGGTTTTTCATCTCTGCTTGCTTTAAAATCAAATTTCTTAGACACATCATCTAGAAATCCGAAAATCATAGGTTGTTAAATATATGTGAGAGCATTATTGATAACCTGAACTAGTATTTGATGAGCAAAACAACTTAGTGCAAATATATTTGGCTTAGGAGTTTTGTGAACAATTGAACCTGATCATTACTGCATGTTTAGATTGTTAGGATTTGCAAAGAGATTTGAAATTCTGTGATTTAGACATAGATAACTTCTGAAATGAGAATTGATTAGTTATATATTTGATATTCATGTTCAAAACGGTTCTTAATCATTCCTGATTTCATGCATTCTACATTATCAGATTCAACCTGCGAACTGTCCTGACTTAGCGCTTTTAGTCTTCTGGAACTTAGATCAAACACTAAATTTCGCTTGTTTACTCGTACTTTATCATTCGCATTACATACATCACATACTGCTTAGCTTAATCCGAACCTACATTCGATAGTGTAGTTTGCATTACTCCTTTTGGATTCGATACCCCTTGTACTACAACTGCTTTTGCTGTACACTTGCAGTAGTTTTATTTGGGTAAAACCTAAGCCCTATCAAGTTTTTGCCACCGTTGCCGGGGAGTAATAGCTGCCTATCGATTTTTACTTTTAGGATTTTGTCTAAGTTTTAATTTGTTTACTAACTTTCAGTTTCTTTTCTTTGTGCTGGTTTCAGGTGTATGCCTAATCTGCTGTACCAGAAGCAACAAAGAGAAGGAGCTTTTGACCTTGGGCATTGACGAGCTAGCTAAGTTGGAAAGGACTATCAGGAAAGCTAAGAAGCAATCTACAATGGTCGCTCCACTTATCTTGGTTGAAGATGCAGAAGGTCACTTGGTTGACGGAGAAGGACACAGGAGGAACGAAGAAGGGCAGAGGATTGATCAAGATGGGAATGTCATTGTTGAACAGCAGGTTCAACAAGTGGGACAAGACGCTGGAGTCTCTGCTGCTGCTGATAACGCTGCTGAGCGTTTTGTGCAGAGGACTTTAGGAGACTACAATATACCAGATCAGTTATATGCCAACAAAGCTGCAATCCGCCCTCCTGCCTTCCAGAGGAATGATTTTGAGCTTAAACCTGTCTATTATCAGCTCATTGGCCAGCATCCATTCCATGGCTTACCTCATGAGTATCTTATGGATCACATTGAGAGGTTTGAGGATTTAGCTTCCAGTGTCAAGGCTAATGGAGTTACCAATGACTTTCTGTTCTGCAAGCTTTTCCCTTACTCTCTTGGAGGAGAGGCT